CAATGTTAATCATCTAACTCCATCCAATAAGATGGTGCGACAAGATTAATAATGCTTGAAACCATAACTACTTATAGTGAACTTTTGGTGAGAAAATCATCACATGAACTTTTATGTCAATTAAACACATATGTCATGTGATTTGAAAATGTTTCGATTTGTCATAAATTCTATGGCAGTACCAACTCAACAATTGGCAACCAACCTTTGGCACGCTATATCAAAATATAGTTAAATTATATAGAACCTTAGTTCAATCAAATTCCATTTGGCTCAGATCGAAATATCTCTTTGTAAATTATACTTGTATACAGTGGACACCCAGCATTTTCAGGAGATACTCCATTGGCAATTAAAATATTTATTGATAAACCAATACAGATACGTAGTATGTAGTTTTTGGTCAGTCCGTGTTAACATTTTTTCTAGTAAACAAGGATCACGATCAAACTTTTATCTTATTAACTTATATTATAGGTCACAATATCAAAAGTCAAGCCAATTTATTTTGACAACTGTATTAAGTACTTGGACAATTTTATTATTAGATTAGACATTCTTTAAAAATTTATTATGAAGAAGAGATGTAAGTATAATTTAGGCAACCAGAAGATTAGAGAAAAATCTATTATTCTTTATCTGTCTCGTTTTAAATAATATAACAAATTAGACTTTATAAAACAATCTAAAATACGTAGCGCTCAGTTCGTCACACACCAGGAACTTCATAAAATTAGGTAAGTGGCTTAAATTGTCGACTTAAATAAGCTTAGCAAAGTTTCGCGCACATTTCGACTTAATCACGCTCATCTACTATATAAATAAGAATTTAACAAACAGATATGAAGCGCTGACATTGCTCTACGAGCGGTGTAAATACGCTTCTGTCGAGAATAGACAGCGCATACATACATATACATATATATGTACGTTCCTCGCCGTATATGTAGGTATGGTTAGTTATATTGCCCTTGTAGGCGCCGCGGTTCAAAGATCAATAAATGGAACGCGTTACTTGTCATGTAAACACACTCACAACTAAACTGATATATGCGTGTGTTTGAGCTTTTGTCATAGCGCGCTGTCATATTTATGCTGCAGGCAAAGCGCGCAATCAAGCAATTTGTCACACAACTAGTCGGCGTGCTAAATTACACGAACTCACACATGTACGAGTGTATCCTAACACATTGACAGATATGCGCTTAAATGAAGGCCATCTATCTATACACATGTGCATTATTACTTTTGTGCTCGAAAAGCACAAAAGAAACAAAAACAACCGCTATTCTAGCATTTGTTTACAGTGCTTCAAATTTCAAATGCACACATACTCACACATTACAAATACAAATGTATGTGTCGGAGATGCATGTCAAATATCCCGTCACTCAGATCATTATTCACACAGTTAGTTGATTATTCTATTGTTTGTTGACGCCGGAAGGTTGAAAAGATAACGGCAAGCGAAATGAAAAGCAATGAATTTATAATTCCAGATTTCCGCGTGCATTAATGCTCACAATGATATGAAACTCACAGATTTCGGAAAATTTTGACACAGCTATTACTTACTGATATATAATAATAAAATTACTTAGAAACGTAAATAAATCGCTTTCTAATTGCTCGGAAGACGAAAGGATGTGACATTTGACAATATTTAATTTTACCAACCAAATTTTTCAAATACCAATTAAAATTTAAATGTTATTTCAAACGGATAACTAATAGTAAAAAAACCTAATGTAGAACATCTTCAAACCTCAAGAGATGTGTTGGGATTATTTCGGATCATATAACTATATAAAGGAAATATAATATTCTTGTAGCTTAACATTTGTATTGACAACGCTCTTATTCCTACAGATTCCTCAGTTTAGGAGGTTATAACCAATTGTGAATTTCAAAATATCGAGTTAATTTTTATTTTGAATGCACATACAAGTATATTTAAAAATATTCTCCGAAAATTTGAAGGTGATCTGGCAAATAGTTTCGAAGGCAAGAGCATAATTGTAAATTTTTTTAGTGTAATCGTCTTTCAAAACTTTAAATGCGTTTTTCTCGAAACTCTGTTTTCAGAGTCGGTCGACCGGTCGACAACAAATTTTCACACGATCTTCTTTTTTTTAATAAATAATAAAAAAAATTGTTTTGAACTGAAATATGATAAATAATAACGTAAAACTTAGAATAAAAAAGTAAGCTTAATGAACAACATGAACGCAGATTAACAAAAGGCTACTAACTGGTAATGGGGATTGGAAAAAATAACAATACATGGAGTTGTAAAAAAATACATTTTTATATACATGTAAGGCAATTACTTCCAACTAATTCGGAAGGTACGAGAATCTAAACTAATGCTTGTATCAACCGCTTTCTATACGGGAGGCTATATACCATATAGTTCACCTTAGAAAAACATCCAATCCATCCCGAGTTTTAAAAAAACGGACTTCAAATTTCATATTTAAAAATTTATGATAGCAAAGACAACTTCGAAAATTTCTGATATTTTTAAAACAAAGTTTTGAAATATTAAATTAATAGCTGTATCGTCTACCCACTCAATTATAACGTATTATTTTCAACGCATGTTTCTATGCATATAACTTTCATAATTATGAACTTTGAAAACCATGCCCGACCAAGGTTTATAACTAAAACCGCCACAATTAGCTGTACGTGAAAAAAACATCGCGAAAATAATTTGCGTGAAACCATTGCGACACAGTATAACTGCAAAAACAAAAAAAATCAACACTATACAAGTTACGTAACTCTATTTTGCACGCTCCTGGAAATCATGAAACAGCAACAACAAAACTATGCCAACGAACTACTAAACAACTTTCGCAGAACAACTTTTGACGGCGACCGGAAATGCTGGCCTTCGCATGTACAAAAACGAGTATACACAAATATTGCTGCTAAACTCTGTTATTCCCCTGGCGTTTTCTAAGACGGTTTCCGCCACTTTTGTGGTTACACAGCAACATTTTTTTTGGGCTTCTTGGTTACTGTTATTATTATTGCAGTGATTGTGGATAAGAGCCAATACTGGTTTCCGGTCTATGTGAGTTTAAAATTTTGTTTGAATTCTAATGCGTATTATTGTAAAGTGCGGCAATAGCTAAGTGAGTGTAAGGGCAAATATACGAGTACATAAAGCCCAAAAGCATATATTGATCGATCAAAATCACGAAAAAGATCATTTTGTGCGATCAGAAATGTACCTGTGAACGGTGTTATAGCTTCAGTGGAGCCGAAGTTACCGTTTTTTCTTGTTTTTCTCTGTTTATACTCGTAGATTCGTTTCACAACATAGCTTAGATAGGTTTTTGACTGACCCTAATGTATGTATATATGGTATATATATGTATAGTCATATGTATATAGACAAAGTGCTTGTTACTCAAATATTTACAAATAGGCTGGTTTCGGACATTCGTCCTTGTTGGCTGTCACACACACACTTAAAATACATATATACATATGTATCTCTATATCTACACCGTGTTTGTAAATGATGTTTTCGTCAACCGCAAGACCTCGCGGCCAAAGCAGCGCATGAACCACCAAGCATATTGACCCATTAAATCATACGCCAACAGGCTATAAAACACATTTCTATACACATACACATCTAAATATATAAGTACACATACATAGGCAGTTATATAATTGGAAAGTACTTTACTATATAGATATATGGATATATAGCCTGCATCCGCACCTATTGGTATACAAGCACTCATTACCGCTCATATGTATGTGCATATACTTATATGTGTGAGTGAGCTTGTTTGCCTTTGGTGAAATATTTCAAGTTGATGTCACATACTTCAACAGACGGCTGTGGCCATGCAGGCAAACAATAAGGGAGTAATTATGTACTTAAATGTACTTATGTATGTATGTTTGTAGGCAACTAAGCGCTTATATTGGTAGTTATACTTGTATGTGTTTGTGTAACATAGCTTCGCGTTTGTACACCTTAAGGTCGTAGAACGGCAAAAGCGGCTGCTTTCAGGTGAACATTCACGGAATATCGTGATATTATCCATTCGACTTCTGACGAACTCAGTTTAATTTGCAAATAAATGTGAAATAAACACAACCACTATTAGGAATATGACGTTTAGACCAGTCAGAAATCACTATACAAGGTATATTGGGGGCAGAGAAAGGTCTGAGCTTTTTGCATTAACCTTATACATATTTTCAAGCAATTTGCAAATAAGTAAGCAGTGACCACATAGTATTCAGTATAAGGTTTGTTATAATAACGAACCATTATATCGTCACATAAAATAAAAAAAATCCCTATGTTACAAAAAATTCAAAATCGACTTTTTAATTGATTATCATGTACCTTATCATAATACATGTTCCTTTAAAACTTTTAATTCAACAGCTAATAATAACGTTGCTTGAAAATTCAAAACGCCCTTAGTGCAAGCGTAACAAATTTGCGAACCAAGACAGTAACTTACGCCTTCAGAGAAATAATAAACATTATGACATGCCTTGACATAAAACATGCTTTGTTTGGGTTTAAAAGGAATAAGGGAGAAGGAAATTAATAATTTTTCATCGACTGTCCAGTTTTCGCTATAGTGAGCTTGAAATTTTTCAGATGTCTTACTTCCTATCAACCTGGAGAATAGCTTGTCATCGAAATTATCCGCCTCAACAGATTTTTGATATGCTCAAAATTCGTTTACACATATGTACGTGCCTCTTGCTTCATACCTAGGAGTTTTCAGCATCACAAAATATCTGTATTTTAACTGTTCAAGTGGGATTTAACCTGAAACCTAACCTAACCCAATCATTTTGTCTACAATTTGTATCGGATTATATCGAATTCATTTTAATAAAACGAACACTCTCTTATGATTATCCGATTTTCGATAAAAAACATCGATATTCTATGATATTTTTTGTATTTAATTCTGTATATTATTTTAAATCGTTTTTCTACCACTCACCTGCAGATGATCTAGCAACGCCTCCAGCCCACGATCGCTAATCGATGAACAGCGTAAACTCAACGAATGTATATGTTTGGATGCCAACGGGAATGAGTGTACCACATCAAGCGCATCCTCATCCGAAGCTCCGACCAACGCGAGCGCATGAAAGCCACGACGTATTAACGAATTATACAGCTTCACACGATCACAGCTAGGTATTTGACGCAATTCGCGACACTGCAATGTCGGCAAAAGACCCGACCAATAACGCGGACTGCGATAGAGTATGTCGCGCCATTTCATGCACACCTGCGCCAACGTGCGACGTTCGTACGAGGAAAAGTAAAGTAAAAAACGATTTAAAAAACGATCGTCAAGCAACAAAGCCTCAATGCTAGTAATCGGAGGCGGGTATTTGTGTAATATCAACGCAGACTGTGTCACGGCGGCAGCCAGTTGTGAAACGTTTGAAGCGCCGCCCGCCGCACCCGACGGCAAGACACCCGCAACACCCCCACCGACACCACCACTCGCATACGGATGATGTAGATGTGGATTGGGTAGTTGCTTGCGCAACTGCAACGGTGTACCGCCGCTCACCGATTGATTGGCTACCGATTTTTGTGCTGCCACCAAACCCATAGTGTTAAATTGCGGCTGACCGGGTATAGTGATATTCATTTGCTTGGCAATCGAGTTGACTGTGGGCGCAGGCGGTGCACCCAGAGGATGACTCAGCACCGGCGGTGTGCCGCCCAATACATTGGAATTGGAATTCACCAGCGTCGAGCTGGCAATCTGTGACTGTAATGGATGTTGCGACGGTGTTGGCGGTGTTGGCGCTGGTGGCTGTGAATGTTGATGCGGATGTGACGGCTGTTGCTGAGCTTGTGGCGCCGTCTGCTGTTGTTGCTGGAGTAACTGCATATTATTGCCAGAACCGATAAGAATGCTATGTGGTAGCGTGGGACTAGCGGGGGTCGACAAACCGCCTGTGGGTGTATGTGTACCACTATTGCTGCCACTGCCACCTCGTGTTGGTTTGTCGGGTGTGACAGCTGGATTGCTGTTTGTACTGTTATTCGAACTGCTGTTGTTGATATTGTTACTGTTGTTGTTGCTATTACCACCGCCACATAGTGCATTTGTGACGCGTTCCATTACTGAGGTCTTGCCGCTACTGCCACCCGACGAAGTAGCGGATTGTGTTGAGGAGGACGAAGACGAATTGGAGCCGCTGCCATGATGATGCTTCGAACGCAGCCCGAGGCCGTTAATGCGCTTTGAGAGTTCAGCGGACGCACGTTCGACCACTCCCTGCGCCGATATCGAGGACATGGTATTCTGAAATAAATGCACTTTGAGGCGCGCGTTTAACCGACCACGAGGGGAGAAGTGTACAATCGAATGGCGGGTCTTAGTACGCAAGTTAAAGTGCACAGTTTTTTGGGGCGAAATGTGCACTTATTTACCTTCACAGAAGAGAACCCTGTTATACTTTAAGCTTTAATCCCACTTGGTCTCCTGGTAATATTTGTTTTCAAGTATCTTCGTCTAGCAGTGCGTTTACGCTTGACCGTTCGTATATATGTACAATAGTTTTAATAGCTTCCAAATGCTTAACCGTAATCCAAATTCATATTCTAGCACATCGCATGCGTGTTCATTGCCGTCGCTCTAATCTCAACAGATTGCATGCAACACGCTTCTTTTGAACTCTCTTTTCCCACACACTTATTGTGTTATTTTCATGCTTTACACGTTCACTGCACTTTTCTAGCAATTTGTTAAAGTTTCGCTCCACTTTTGTTCATTGGTTACCGTAACTTTTTCCCGAATTCGTAAAACCCGTTATACAAGTGGCAGGATGTCGCTTCTATTGTGCTTCCACGTGCAGCGTTTTCGCATCCAATTTGCAGTGTCCTTGAAATAAACAAAAAAAAAAAGAAAAGATGAACAAAAAAGTCCATGAAATTTTCTTGCAAACTCTATAGAAAGCACATAAGTTGGAAATAAGGGTGTTAGTATTATATAAAGCTAGAGCAAGTTACTCTATTATGTTTCGAAATAAAAAGTACAGTCGCAGCTTGAAAGTCATTTAAGTGAAAATAGCAAACTGTAGAGAAAGTATATTTTTATTAAGGAAAAAACTTAATATTTATGTTTATCAATAAACATAAATTGAAGGATTAAACATCAACCACGCCAGGAAACGATACTGTCTCGAATCCCACTGATTGTACTCTCACAACTATTAGGTTGCAAGACTAAATTCAAAGACAAAAGTAATTCGGAGTAGATTATGTATATATATATGCATACCTAGTTGGAATTTAGATCTACCTTAGCTTATCCTTTTGATTCTAATATATTCTGTCTAAATCTGTTATGTCTCAATCTGTCCTACAACGAAGGAAGGTAAAGATATTATGTTCAAATATTTAGCTCACATATTCTCGTCGATTCGAACGGCATTGTTACGGAACGTTTCTCACTAAATCTCATCCTAAACTCAAGCCCATTGACTTAGAACTCCCAGGACGATTCATATATTTGCGCATCAAAAAATATCAATACTACTGACTCGCCCCATAACAACAAAATCAGACTAAAGATGTCAAATATCGATCGAATGTAGAAGTATTAATCGAAGACCTGGAAGAGTTCGAATAGTACGGAAAATCTTACTTCTGCGTTTATGGAACATATACAAGATCTAAGTACTTTTATTCTAACACGAAACTAAGCAAGTATTTATATGTGTTTATGAGCTGCTCTAAATGTATACAGTGGCACTTAAAAAACTGTATTTCAAGACACGTTGTCTTTACAAATTTTTATTAGATTAATAAAATGAAATCTCAACGTGTAGCTAAATATATATGAACCTCAACTTTCCAGTCATTCGCCCCATACAAGCGTGTTGTTATGAGTTGAAAATTAGAAACACAACAACATGAAATAATATTCCTAGCAGGAAAGGCAGATTATTTGAGGAAGGGAAAACCTTGGTGAGATGCAAAGTATAAATTCATATTAATAAATATAGGTAATGAAAGAGAGTCACAGGGAAGAGAAGCAATTTTATTGTGCTGCACCGAAAATAACAGTAACAGCTCAAAAAGTGATTGCGAATTATAAAAACTGTAACACAAAGAAATCAGAAAACTAAATAGAAAGGAGAGAGAAGTGAACAGTAAGTTGTTAGAGGTGAGCGAAAAAATATGTTTATAGCGCAACTTTTATTAAGGCAGCTTACAGTAAAAGCAAATAATATATGTACAAGAAAAATTATTTCAATTGTTTCATATTTTCTCCTAGCAAATCTGATTACTTCAACATTTGTGGACAATGACATAGCAAGGCTGCCGCGCTCATAGGTGCAATTGGTTAGTGCTTCCGTTCCATTTATTTTTTACTTTACTTGCCGTGGTTTTTCTTTTTTTTCATTTCCTTGACTTTTATTATTATTTTTTTTTTCTCTACACACTTACTAAACAGTGCGGCTTACGCCTTTCTTAATTATGCCTCACATTTCTATGCTTATGACTGATAATTAGCGCAACGTTGGCAATTGCTGCTGCAACCAAAAAATGGAAGTAATAAACTTTAACGGAAATTACAGAAAGTGTCAATTACTGATTGTGCCCTGGCTATTTGTTGCCTAAGTTGTAAGCGTAAAGCAGAAAAATCTCCTTCTCTCATAAAAGAGAAAAAAGTGCCCACAAGAATAATTCCGTAAAATTCTGGTGAATAACTGATTGTGGCAGCAATTAGTTTCAGTAAGTAGCAAAGCATTCACATTTTTTTGTAATTACTTACTACGTTTGATAAGATTTGGCTAAATTTTGACCAAGTGCTTAAGTTTCGTAAGAAAAAGAAATTAAATGAGCAAGTGAAATATGCGAATAGTTGTGGTGGGCCATTTCACTAATTGTGCAACCGAGTGCATTGATGAGAATTTATTATTAATAGCAAGAACAATTTACTAGAGGAATTAAGCTCGTAAGAAAGAGAAACTAAAACAATCCTTCAGAACTTTTTTTAAACCGAAGTATGTTTGAAGGTAACAATGAATACCCAAAATTGTAGAAAAGATTTTGAAGACTACTTTAAACAAGAAAGCAACGTTAACATTGGCACCGAAGCTATGACAGCCCTAGGTATACAAAGGTCGGGTTTGGATGATACCTAATGCTATAGTGATCCAACCAATATGTTAGGAGATTGTAGTGTTGACTAGATCGAAATTCGTGAAGATCATAAAATGAAAAAGTTTTCCATACAAGGACTTAATTTTGACCGATCAATCTTTATAGCAGCTGTATGCTGTAATGGTCCGAAATCGGCGGTTCCGGCAAACAGAGTCTCCGGTATTTCTTTTTGGGTGCAATAAACTTTATGAAAAACCTAGTCATTATATACAAATTTTCTAAAGAAAGACGATCCTTGTGCAACAGACTTAAATTATGCCAAACAGACAATAGCTGTCGGGCTTTGCCAATATTTTTATTCCATAAGGATTTCAGAAAATGATATTCATCTAATCAGGTAGAAATTCAGGTTTTATTGTTGTTGTTATTTAAAAAACAATGCTCAAGAATGCCACTTGGATTTTTTACGCATTTTAGTTGTTTTTGTTAAAAAAATTACAATCCGTGTAGTCCCCGTTTCTCTTAGGAATAAAATCAGTTTGGTCCATATAGGTATTTTGTCAATCCAAGAAATATAATCAATTTAATAAGTGAGACAGACTTTTATAAATTTCAGTCTATACCGATGTGCCAAATTAGATTGAAAAAGTTTTTAAGAAACATACTGCTTAGGTTTTTTTTAAATTGAGAATACGAAAATGATAATGCTTAGTGAAACTGTTTGGTGATAGCATATGGTGTGCAAAGAAAACGTGGAAGTCATCCGGACAATCAGCTCCAAAGAAGGAGATATCTGCATGGAAAGGTTATGAGCACCATCGTGGTTGCTAAATGACTGGACTTCTGTTCAAAAACTAATAAACTTCTATCTTAAAATAGGACTCTCTATACATTTATTTTAGTAATTACGCCTAGTAAAAATTATAAAGCTAAAATTTGAAACAAACGTTCTATTTTATATATATATTTTTGTTTGGTAGTTATGCTTTGAAAATAATTATATATATAAAGCCTAAATATTAGAGGTTTTACTTTTTCTATGCTTTCTTTGAAATAAAAGTTATATAATTAAAAATAACACCCTTTATATACATATTTGGTGATTGAACTAACAATACTTAACAAAGACAAAATACTGAAGATTTCATTATTATTTCTATTCTATGTAGCAAAAATTAAGCCGAAATGCTGGATATTTCATTAATATATATTTTCGTGTCTAATTAGATATAAAAGTGCTATATATTTTTAAATTTCCCCTCTTATATTATTTATTCTTTTACTATCCCTACCATATCGCTATTTTCTTAACATAGTAAAACGCCTATTTGTCAAACAAAAAAGTCTCGAGTGCATGACGAAACCACTTCATTTAGGCTTCAACACAAATAACAGATATTCATCATTTTAATTGCCCTGGCAAAGCACAAACACTACATCCTCTCTACTGACCAGCCGCAATATTGGCTGACGCATAGCAGTGAAATTTTAAGAGCTACAAAACTAAAAGCAGAAAAAACAACAGCCGACATATTTATAAAAACCAACAGCTGCGCTGAAAAGCCATTTTACTCTACGAAATTACATAGATTGCCATATAAATGTGGCGTTTCCTTTTGACTGCTTTTCATCGACGCCAAGTTAAAAACCGAAAGTCACATACACATTACTATTCACAAGCGCAAATAAACAACCAAATGCGGAAAACTAAATAAATAATAGTGTTTCATAAAGTCGTTACTCCGTGCCATAAGTACAACGTGTGGTATGAGCAACCTCAAAAGCAAAAGCGATGCGCCAACGCAAAACTGTGGTGTATGCGAGTCTGCTGCATAGAGCCACTTAACCAAACTGGTACATTATCATCAGTCAACAATCTCGAGTAAATACGAAACGACAGACGAACAAAACGCTAAAGATAACTGTAGCAAATACTTGTGAGCGGACGCGTTTGCTGTGATGACAAGGGCGGTGGAAAGGTAATTAAGTATTTTATTAAGCGATGTAAGAGGAAATGTGTGATAAACCAGATAAAAGATTAAAAAAAGTAAATTAGCAAAAGTTTGAGGAAATTCTATGAGATAATAACTAATAATAATTCTGGAGGTAAACGCTGCTTTTTGGCAATAGCCAAGGTGGCAGATTTACATGCATGCACCATACACACATATATATGCAAAGATGTAATAATTTTGTTTGCATAATGGTGTGCTTTAGTTCACACATAATTGAGCTCTGTTGTCCAGGTGAGACCATCGATAGCGATCAACATAAAAGGCGTCAAATATTACGTATTCGACTATCCATTGAAAAACTTATTTCTGGCGCGATGTAAAGACGGCAGAAAGATCAGTTTGAGATCAGTACCGATGAATTTGGGGCCAGAGAGAGTGTTACATAGAGAGATTATATTAGTCAAGGTATTAGCTGAGCCGGGCGATAATCGGACTTTTCTTCATAAATTGTATTACAAAATAGACTGTTAAAGTTCTTTGAACATTGGTCAGATTTTCCCGTTTTGATAGGTATATTCTCGCTTATAGTTTTTCTCTTTAAATGAGCTGGCCATTGTCACCTCTAAATATTCTGATATATACCGATATGTCAAATACCGTTATATTAAACTGCATTTTATGTGCGCTTTGCCACATTTTCGTAAAATTTTCGAAAACTAATCGCCACTTAACTGTCCTCATCAAATGATAAGCCACAGCAAAGTTTGTGCAACCATCTCTACCGACTCGCCTGCATACCGGCCCGCCTACACTC